CTTCCAAGTTGAGCCCAGATTTTACTTCTGGTTTACATGAAGTGTCAAAACAGAAGTTTTGAACAAACTGCTGGAGGTTTAATTATGGTCTATTGGCACAAGAGGTCTTAGGAAAATAGGAGATGCATGAATTCAGAAATATCCTGAAACAAGAGAAGTTAGTTAATAATCCGAGAGCCAATCATGGCAGATGATGAGAAAGACTGAGTCCTGTTTACTCAGGACATACATCCAGAGCTGCTTGGATGAAAAGGTGCTTGTGCTATACCAAGCTGCTGCCTGTTATTTCCCGAGAAATGTTGCGCAAGCCTTGTGCAGAGATGAGCATTCAACTCACAGCAGTGGTGGAAAGCAGCACTGTGTGAGTCAGGGGTATTAATCCTGCTTTGCTCTTCATTTCAGTTGCAGAAAAAGAAAAGTGAAAGTTTGACCACTGGCAGTACCGAAAAGTGAGACGAAAAACTCTTTGAGCAAAACATAAGTCCTAAGCTTATTCTGGTTTTGAGAAATGCAGTATTTGACAAACAGACGTGGTGGCTACGTCAAAATCCAGCTGGGACCATGTATGCAGAGAGGTGGCAGGCACGGATGCCCTGACTGCTTGGACACCTTCCCTACAGCCTGCAGCCTGCTTGCACAGGCGCTGCCACCAAGGGCTCCCCCCGCCCCGGCACAGCCATCGCAGCCCCCCCGGCCACCCTTCCCCTGTGGACATTGCACGGGTTGCAGCACAGCTCAAATCTTCTGCAGATTTGCCTTTTTGGTGACCACACTGACCACAGTCTGCAGAGACAAAGTGGAATTTAGCTAAGGAACCTTTCCTGGAGAATGACCCACTGGCACCCAAAAACAAAAGAAAAAGTTGTTTTAGTCAAGATACGATATACATGTGTACAGCAGGATGCTAATTACAGCATAGCTTAACAGAAGCTTACATTCTGAGAGGGGTCCTGGCATGTATTTTTGTTTGCCTAGGAGGCCCTAATGACACATTTCTCTGTATTATTCTTTGTATTTTATAGTGTTCACAGTACATTCAGAAGCCCAGCATAGTGGATGCAATTTTTTTGTTTTATACACTAGAAGAAATCAGAAGAAACCTTAGTGACTTTGCAGGTTTACTTTGTGGCCTGGTACAGCTAGACATCACGGGATCCTTCAGCACGAGCAAAGAAGGGAGCACAAAGCTGAAACCACTGTGCAAGCCTATTTTTATCCTCATGGATGCAAAAAGCAACAACAAGAAAAACCTTCAAAGATGTACAGATTTTTTTTTTTTTTACTTTTAAACTGATCTGCTAAATAATATATTCTTCTATAGAAATGGGTGTTGTTTTCTTTTGCATATGCGTTCACATGAGAACTGTTTCTGTTCCTGAAGGGAAATGCTTTCATAATGAATACAAGGTAAGTGACTGTAGATGAGAGGAGAGGGTTGGTTCTCCTTAAGAGGAGGAGCTTTAAAAACATTTTTTATAGTATACTTGCATCATAATTGCAAAACTGAAGAAGCTTCAGTTCCCTTGATAACTTTGTAAAGGTTAGGAGCCAAGCTCTGCCTGGAGTTGCAGTCATGCAAACGAACAGCAGACAATACTGCGATCAGCTCCTGTGCACCACCTTGCCAAAGGGGAGGCCAGAAGAAATCCCCTTTCCTTGTGCCCATGAAAGGTGAGCTATGGCCATGCAGCTCACGTACTCGTGGTTTCTCCCACTGGGGAAAGGTCACCCTCCCTGGGGGTTTCAGTGAACAGGATCAGTCCCTATCATGACATGGCTGCTGAGACCAGTGATTGGCATGCAGCCTGGCTTGCCAGCATCCCCCCACAGCTGCAGGCATGCAGCCAGCGAAGCATCACGCGTGTTGCTCGGGTCCTCTTTGGGTCAGTTCTCATCAACTGCCCCATCAGCTTTGCTACGTGTGTTAGCAGTAACACTAATGCTATGCCTCTGAAAAGTCCAAAGCCGCATGCATTGCCTTACCTTGTTTTTCAAAAAGAGGTGAGCAGGTGGGGGCCAATCTTTCCCTCCATGACCCAGGAAACACCTCAGGAATCTCAGCCTCTCTGATAGGTGTCTAGTACCAAGCTCACCACTGAACAACAAACCGTGCCTCCTGCTCTGGGAATTCAGATTTATCCTCCCGATGTTTCTGCACATTAATTCTGAGTTTAACTCTTGTTTCTCCCCTAGTGCCATTTCCCACAGTCAGTCTCTTTCTTTTGCATGAAACTGTAATACTTCAGCCATTCTCCAATCTCTCAGGGAGATCAATTTTACCTTGAAACATCCATCCCTCTGCACTGTTCTTGCTTGAACATTTCCAGAGACCCAGGGCAGACCCACAGCTAGTTCTCTGCTGATGCTTCTTTCTGCCTAAGCTGCCTTCTCCTTTAAACAGCCTTTTGTGTATGTGGTTTTGGGCTTTCCACTGCTAACTGAAAAAGGGTCTGATTCCTGGATTTGAACAGTCCTGGGGGACCCCAAGGGAGATGGGAAGATCCAAGCACAGGGTCAGCTCCTAGCTACACAGGCATTTTCATGAATGGATGAACAAAACCCTAGTTTTCATTAACCTCAAACTTTCGATGCTTGAAAGTTGGATTTCAGTTATGTGGTTTGGGCCTCTTTTCTGTACTAAATCTTATAATCCAAAGTACATTGTGACCCAGATTGGTCTGCTGTGGAATTCTTCACTCCTTTTTCACAAGTAAATCAAATTTACCATCTCCATTCAAGCGGATTACTGTCACAAATCAGCTCCCAAAGCAGATGTTCTGCGCAGGAGCTATAAACAATTGCTTAGGATACACCAAGTCCTGCATTGAGCTAGTTACATTAGATGAGAAAACCTGCTGTAGGAACTTGACTGCACCCTCCTCCCACTAAAACTGTGTAAGAGGTAAATCCTGATAGGAAGTTTTGTTTCAGTTGGAAGGATTTTCTCTAATCATAACCCCTAATCCAACGAGTATTTATACATGTGCTTACCTCCCACAAACATAGTCATGGGCCCTGGCACTCGGTAGCTAATTGCTTAGTGCAGGCTCCTTAGCTTTGTCTAATTGAAGTTCATAGGAGTTTGAGAACTGATGGCTCTTGGCCCTTGGTTTGGCTCCATCATTTTTAAATCAACATGAAAACTGTTTACTGGAGAGAGATGATGAGAAGATGTTAGTGAAATCCCACTGACTTTATTGGAGCTGCTTTATTGGAGCTGCATCAGAAACGTGGAGGAGGGAATGCAACCCATCCTCAGGGCTGCACTAGTGACTATCATGATGCTGTAACGAGCTGTGCAGCTTATTGAAAGAGCAGGCAACATCCAGGTTGCTATACATAGACAGCTGTAAAAAAGACAACATACAATCACAACCAACTATTGGTACAAATGGGAATACGACAGCATTTTTTTAATGTCATTTGCCTTTGTAATATTATAAGAGACAATCCTCCCAACATGTTTAACCAAGGAGAATGCAAGGCATTCTCTCATAATTCTAGTTTCTTATACTTTTTCCATAATATTTGATGCTGTGATTCATATGCAAATTAATGGATTTGAGAATCTTGGCAATCAACCCATTAAAATGTCACACATTTTCAGGATGACATTTTGAAACTACACTTAACGTGAAAAATGAAGTTTTCTGAGACAGCCAGACAGATGTCTCAAGTGAAATTTAATCTTTTCTCTTCCTAATCCAACAAATAAGAGTGAATATTATACCTCAATGTTGTTGTTTCAGCTTATGGTAGGTGCCTTGCAAAGAACTTTATATGATCTGTTCCATGCGTCTTTTCAGCATCATGACAGTGCCACATGCATCCCAGTCTTACATTGCTACTCCTATACTTTTGATCAAAGTTTATAACTATTCCATGCTGAAACTAATGATGAGCCCTGGGATTTTACTTCTTACTTTTTTAAAAACTATGAGAACCCACAGCCCCATATTGACTACATTTTTTAGTTTGGCTTTCATAATCAGATCAAACTAGGGCTATAACATAACTGCATGTCAAGGAAACAGCTTTTTAAAAATGTGAATACCCCCACAGCAGCCAATTTGCAATGAAAATTTAGTGTGTGTTAAATACAGAGGTTATGCAATTCCAAAGAAGTATCTGTACATGGGAATTGTTAATCTTCGGTGCTGCCTCTGAGCAGCAATAACAACAGCATCTGTTCCATATGGGAGTGAAGCAGAGTGCTGGTGTGGAGTACGAGCCCATCAGGACAAGCACTGTCAAGCAGTATTCCATTTTCCTGTTTAAACAGTGGGCTTTTACTGCAGACTGCCCCTTCTCTCTGGAAACATCTGAATAACAAGTCTTACCTTTGCGCCTGGCTTGTGGCATTAGGAGCATTCTTACTTCTTGTTATTCTTCTGTCATATTGTTCTGCTTTGTTGTGAAGGTTTCTGTGAAAGGGAAGACACAGTGGGGCAAATCACCTACCCCAGTAATAAAAAATCTCCACATATTTACCCTTGTCTCACACTACCATCTCCTTGATTTCCATGTGGCAAGGCAGGGTATAAAACCAAACAACATGCCTATTATTGACAAGGAGCACTCAAGCCCTAGCCTGCAGGAAGGATGTATGTGAAATGTAGGGCCATCCATCTGCTGCTCTGACTCCCAGTGTGAAAAAAAAAAAAAAAAACTTTCCAAAAGGTTGCTCTGGAATCAGGCACATTCCAGCTCCAGGCTGTGTCCAGAGGACACCAGGCAGGTCCTGCACTCCTGAGCGACCCTTCTGTATGCATAACCCTCTGCCATGCAGCACCCTTGTGACTAAGGTTGTTCAGCGCCAGCAAAGTGAAGCAGACTTTCTGAAGTGTATCTAAAACAGCTTGGATGCTGCTTTTCTAGACCACGTGGCAGTGCAGTGGGCGATCTTTCCTTTCTCTCAGCTCTCCAGGGGCATGCCTAGGCAGAGGTAAAGTTTGTACTCTGGAAAACTGGTGCATTGGAGTCCTGGTCTGTGTGTGGGTGCTATGACAGAGCAAGAAACCAGTGAGTCTTAATAATAAACCTGTATCTGCTACTGGCTTCAAATTCCCTCTAGATCAAGTAACCAAGCTAGGGCTTCCTTCTCCTTTCAAACAGAAAGATCCGCCTCTGTAAAGCGTTTTGTGGTATCCAGATGTAAAATGCTCCTCACTGCAAGAATCAACAGTTACCATTTTCAGAGAATATGACTTCATAGAAACTTCTGGCCAAAAATCTTATTAGTTGTCCTCATAAATGAAGAAGCTGCAGCCAACAAGTCAAACATCTCTTTCTTCGTGATCATGTTATTGTAGATATGGATCTTTGCTGGTGAGAAGTCATACTTCTCACTATCTGACACACACACACAAAAAAAGCTTTCTGACTGTTTTGGCATGTAATCAGGAATTACAGGTGTACTCCAGCACATGCACACACACAAAATGCCTATTTGTAGACATTTTTGTAATACTGCTCTTGGCTCTGTTGCAAGACAAACTTAGAACCAGGAGAGTTGGAAAAGTGTAAACTAGTCTTGTCACAGCCAACTTTGCTATAATGTCTCTGAGGAAAAATATCTCTTTTCCAAAATGCGTGAAAGCATACTTACTGCCGGGCTGTCAGAGCCGGCAGATCCTCTGCCCTAAAGGAAGCTCCAAGGTGACAGAGACTTGGAACAGCTCTATTTCTTTCTGGATGAGAAGAGCTTACTCTCAGCCCACTGATGGTGTTCTGGGCTCAGGACAGCTGGGATGTGCTCCAGGCTGAAAAACAGAACAAAGAAATCAACACAAAAACGTATAAACCCTCCTCAGATCTGTGTGCCCAAGCCATGCCTTTTAGCATGCCCAGTTAATAGCTCCCCTGGTTAACTCATGGAAGCCAGCTTGTCCCACAGCGTTCATGCTACCAGAAAGCTGCCAGGATTTGCAGCCACCCCATAGCACACAAGGATGCTCTAAAGCACCCACAGGTAATGGGCTTGTGTAGGGCCAACTAAACTATAAACCATTAGATACTCATGCATCTCGGTGGAAAGACAGATCCAGACCTGTCCCTGGCCTGGCCTAAAACAGGAGAACATGTCAAGTCATGGGGAGAGGGAGAGGCAGCCAGGCCACCACACGGTATAGGCAGATCACATTGCCTTATAATTTTTCAGCCTCAGATATTGTGGGCTTTTTTCAGGCTTTCCCAGACAGGTTGAGTGTTTGTGTATGCACAGCTTGCTCCTGGCATGGTGTCTCCAGCTGCCTCCCGCTGTTCATCTGCTGCCTGACCTCCCCTGTTCACCACATCTGAGAAATAAAACTGTCCACCCGCAAAGGACTGTAGGGCTCTGAGCACCGTGGCTCTTGTGCCCCGCCACGGCAGCCCTCAGCACCCAGCATGGCAAGGGCTTCAGCGTAAATGCAAATGACTGGCAAAATGAAGGACACACAAATGGGACGCTGCCTCTGAGGCCATTCTGCTCTCTTTCAGCTTCATATCAGGGAAGCTGGTTGAGGTTGCTTTTTGAAAGGGAGCTTCTTTTTTGGGCTGGATGGGGTTTTTTTTCACGCACTTTTCTATCTGGCCCTGCAGTGCTTGGTCTGCTTTTAAAATCAACCTGCTGGAAACATAGCGGCCATGTTTGTGTCCCGCTGCAGTCAGTGCCTGGGATCGGCCAGTTCTTTCTGTCACACAAAAGCCGCCTCGTCAGGCCTTCACATTTGGGCCCACGCAAAATGGCACCGGAGGCTGAAATCCCCTCTTGTAGTTTAATTATAAATGCAGCCAGCAAGCGTGCCCGTGGCTCTGGAAAGCGTGTGGGGCAGCAGAGCCGATGCTCACGCCGTGCAGGGCGGCTCAGCAGCAGCCCAGGCGGCGGGGGGACAGCGGCAGCCCAGCTCTCGCCATGGGCGCCGAAGCCCTGGGGGACAACAGGCCACCGGCATCAGCGCACCCCAGCAGCCCCCACGGGACAAAGCTGGGAGGGAAAGAGGGAGCAGGGGGGCCTCTCAGCTGCTGGCCCCAGTCTTCCCCCTCAGCCATGTCTGTCCCCACGGCCCCCCCTTGTTCGTGAATGAAGGGAAGGAGGGGAGCAGCAGGGAAAAGCCTCACAGCTTCGGGAATAAAAGTTACAGGAATGACAGATTTTCCAGTTTGATGAGCAAATTCCTCCCTCCCCCCCCCCCCCATTTCTGCATTAACTTGAAAGCTTGAAATCTAATTTTCTTTACTAAAAAATCCTCAGCTAAATTAAATGAACATTCAGAGCAATGCTTATGTATTGCTTCACTTTTGAGCTATTATTTCCCTTCCAAAAAAAAAGTTATTAATTTTAGGCGAAATCATCCTTGAAACAAACAAACCCATAACATCTCCATTAGAAGTGTTCTCCGTCACATTTCCTTGTCCTGCTTTGAAACAACCCGCCCAATTCCATTTCAGCCCACAGGTGACGCCAAGGCCGTGGCTGGGATCCCTCCTCCGCTGCCCTCGGGCCCTGTGGAGGATGGTGGGGGGCAGAGGACGGGGGTCAGGCCATGGGAGATGCGTGGGCAGCAGGTAAGCGCCTGGTCCCCAAGAGGAAGCTGGCACACCCCAGAAACTGAGGAAGAGTCCAGGACGGGCACTGGTGGGCCCAAACCCCACCTGCACCGAGAGTCTGGTGCCTCCTTCCCCACTGGCAGCCATCCCCCCACCACCCCCCAGCACCGTCCAGGGCACCGGGACTTGCACGGTGCTGCTGGGGCTGGCTGGCGGGGTTCAGCTGCAGGGAGATAGCTGCTTATCTTGGGAAGAGCTGAATAAATATGTTCCTAAAGGTTATAGGATAACAAGTCTAAACCACTGTGTACTTCAGAAAGTTCACCAGGGCGATGTGCGTGTCATAAATGACAATTTCATTTTTTCCAGGCTGCATTTTTTTTTCCCCCTCACTCAAGACTTTGATCCTCCTCATCATGCTGGCTACCATGCGTGTTGCCAAGGGCAGATCTCCAGCTACAGTGACTCCTCTGCTTGCAGAGGACACACCACTCATTTTAGAGAAGGTGAGCCAAGGCTGCAGCATCCATAGCCGCCGGAGGCTGGCCACATTCTGCCAGAGAAGGGCAGCGAGTTTCATCTCCATCTGGAAGGCAGCCTACATCCAGGGAGATCCTGGTTTGTAGGGCTTTGGTGGACAATAAGTACAGGAATCTCCCCTTTATTTATAGTGTTTCATTTTATCCTACCAGCTGTTTCCTTTATTCATCCTGTATGGTGATTTATTCATTGATGTGTGCTTCACATTGCCATCTCCACCCATGCAGAAAGCATCAGCTGCTGCCTGATCTCTGCACAGTGCTAAGCACTTTCATGAGAGACTGGGCTATGACAGGTCATCTTGCTTCATCTGCTGGCCAGTACATTTAAAGAGCACCAAAATGCATTCCTTTGTGTACATCTTATTTTATTTATGCATTTATGTAACAGTTTTGACTAAGGAGAAAACTGTGAACATGCAGATAGTGGCACCCACAGTTTTGAACTGCATTGAATTCTAGGCATTCATATAGCTTCCTTTGGGTGTTGTACAGAATTTAGGCTCAACATGTGCCTTTTGCATGAAAATACATAAAATTAAAGTGAAAAGGTTGCAAGTGGATTAATATAAGACTTTTGCAGCTATTAGCATGGTAGAGCTTGCTCTTTCAAACGTCAACTATGCAGGCTAACTCAGGAGGCTTACTCTTTTAAAAACTGAGATTAAATCCATTATTTCCAGTGTAATAACCTTATAACACCTCTGAATTTATCTCTAGGACAAAGGTCTTTTCTCATCCCAGTTGTTAAAATTTAACTAGGGAGACAATAATCATCTTGAAAGACACATTGCATATGGAGGGGTGTTCAGTGGCGTGACTTACAAGGGGAACTCAAAGTTTGCAGAGTAAGAATGGTGTTTGCAGACTGTAAAAGACTGTAGAAGAGAGTAACAACCCCTGGGACATTCTTTCAAAAAAGAGGTGAATCCTGCACTGTGCTTGCTGCACAGGAGGATCTGCTCTCCATAGAGTGGGGTCAAAATCAAAGCCTGTTTGCCAGATAGGGTTTGCCTGATTTATTTAAATTTCTTTTTTGACCCCTATCTTCTTTAGAGTTCAGTAAAAAGTTAGTTTCACCACTATAAGTTATATCAGAATTCACCCTCTAAATGTGCATTTACACAACACAGTCTTCCTGAAGCTGCAGGCAGGTGCCTCCAACTAGTTGCCTGGAAAACCAGCTTCTCTGTAAACAAGCCAGATAAACAATAGCAGATAAAAGTGCCTGGATTAGCCCTGTGTATGTATGCACATGTTGCCTTTACTATCTCAACTGTTGCTGTATTTTTACTGCCAGGTGACTGGCAGCATAGCCATGGATGCTCTGTGCTGTGCTGCTCCCGGTTCTTTTTTGCCCAGAGGAGGAGGTATCATAGTAGGCATTAGAGGGTGATCTGCAGCCAAACCCTTCTACCATTTCCCTGAGTGCACAGCAGGAGCATTTTGGTCTGCAAGAAGGGGAGCTCATGCTCCAACCTGCACTCCCAGCAAAGCCAGCCCCCTCGAAGTGACACAGTTGCACAGCTCACCTTTTTTTTGGGTGGCAGGCATGGCAATGACCAAGGCACGATACCACTAGGGATGGCAGTGTGGCCATGCCCTTGATGTCAACACTAACACGTAAGGAAGCTGGCAGGTGCCAGGGCAGGGTTAGCTCCTGCAGCAGGTTAGCAGCTGTAGCAAACAGAAGAGCAAACCTGGCACCTCCAAAATCCCCATCTTATGGTCCTAGCTTCACCCCCAGCCTTCCTAGAGGGGGAAGGGGTCCCAGATTTGAGGCTGCACAAATATGCTCTGCCAGCGCTGCTAAGACTGGGGGCTATCAGGCTTAGGAAGGGCAGTGGGGTCCATGATGAGGACCTCCTGTTGCATGTGGTCCATGCAACATGTACCTCTCATAGCAGTGGGGGTAAGAGCTGGCACTACAAAATCAGGGATGGATAGGACATTGGCACCCCTTACCTGGGCTTTGCATTTAAATAATAAAACTGAAGACTGTTCTGGCCCTAACTAAGGAACAATGTGCTGGACACTAATACCAAGTAACCAACTCAGAAAATAAGAACCCCTGGTCACCTGGACACAAGAGTTAAATGTCTTCATGCTGTTGGTGTGTTTTTCAAGTTGCAATACAGCATTTAACAAAGAAGGTTTGGCAGTTAGATTTGCATACTGGCCTGATTAGACAAAATTCCAACTGAGCATTCAGTGCATGCAAAAATGGCAGATGCGCAGGCCTAACAAGTGTACCATTTTATGCTACGTGATGACTGTGGTGTTTACATCAGACATGATTATACCCTCTTCTGACCAAATATGGATTCATTAGCTTGTATCAGTTTCATCCATTTCCCACATTGTCTAAATCTGAATCCTTTTATCTTCTCCAGTTTCTCATTTTTTGAGAATTATACTATTACCTACTCTACTATGTTAAGAACCCCTTTTTAGCCCATCTAAATGTATTCCCTTGTACGTAAAAGCAGCATAATAACAACGAAACATATAGGAGCCTGACATTTCTTTTCATGCTGGTACTTACTGTTCAAAATGTCCTAGAAGAATATTAATGATGTCTGTCTTTTCACGGGTGAAGTGGACTAATTTTAAAGGACTCTCCATCTTTGGAAGCGTGCTGCACCAAACAGGCCGTTTCATTATCCTTTTGAAAAACACATTGAAATCCCTTGGGTGACACCCACATCAGCCTCCTCACTCCCAACTGCACAACCGCTGTGTCAGAGAACTGCCAGGGGAGGATCAGCAAAGAAAATTAGGCAAACTCTTTACATTTTCTGATTCTTAAGGAGTTAACAGGGTGGGGAGGATAATAGCCAATATTCTCAGTGGTTACATGGTGCTGACAATAACTTTTGTAACCATCATATGTCTGTAAAAGCCCCTGATCACTTCAGAAGACTCTGCCAGGAATTTGATTCCATAAGTAATGAGCATCAGCCACCCGTAGGCACCAGCTCTGAGTGGTCCCACAGATGCAGCTCCCCAGAAAGACAAACAAGCTGCATGCCCGCTAAAACCACAACAGTTAAAGATGGAGCCAATGCTTAATCTCTCAACACTGAGACTACTATGATTTTTTTCCAGTATTTTCTTCCTCTAGATCAAGTTGAGATTAACCAGTTGGCAATTTTACAGCAATCAGAGATCCTACTGAGGGTATCCAATGCAAATCATCTCAAATGGGTTTGGCTCAGTTGCAACCCCAACCTCAAACCTTAGACTATATCTAACAAATCTAAACACGGTTTCTTCACTCTAGCTCTAATAAAGACAATTCTACAGAGGTTATCCACATGGGCAAGTAAAACAGTAACATTTCACTAGGAGCCTCTCAGTTTAAAATTCATCCGTCTTTCTCCAAGGACAAACATGTCCCACCAGGAAACAGACATCTGTAAGGATAAAATGGAAGGGGGTGTCTCCCCTTCCCAGGTGAGGGTGGACTAGATGTCATTAGTTGTCTTTTCAATTCTAATCCCAACATTACTTTCTGCTGGAAGACTTCATACTGTGGTAGCCCTGAACTGCTGGGTAGTCTGCAAAAGTAGAGAGGAGCGTGGTTTCTACCTCGAGGACAGCATAATTCAAAATGGGACTTAAATAAATCAAAATGGTGCAACACACGCCCTAGGGTGAGTGAGCAGATGATGGCAGCGCTCTGATGATGCTCAATGTTCTGCAGGGACAGCAGACTTCTCCCACCCTCATGCCTCATGTAGGTCCTACTCATTAACCTCTGTGTGAACACAGTGCTGGTGCCACCTTTGGTCACCCAGAGATCTGAGAGAGAAGTCGGAAAAGTAATAGGGATGCAGAACCCGATAAGTAAAAAACACTAATTACATTTCTCAAAAATGAAGTTGCCAGAACAAACCCATTTGCTTTTTTTCAGCTGAAGTTTCTTGCTTGGCTTGTGGCAGTGACGGTCACAGCATGTTTCTTCTGATGTAGGTCAGGAAAGACTTGCAGATTGCACCAATCCAACCCATGGCAGCACATGCAGGGGCTGAACCAGCTCATTTATACCTGGACAGAAGCCTGCTAGATAATTCTGTGCAGAGGTGATCTGTTTGCTTCTCAGAGAAGCTTGGCTGAAAGCTCGGATCCAGAAAGACCTTCCCTTCCTCCCCTAGATCTTGCTGAGCCTCGTATTACTCCTGCATGTTCAGCTTATCTGTTGATTTTAAATCAGGATAATTTAGATATGCTTTCCTCCTGAATTATATAATTTTATTGTAGAGTGGATGAGCTGAGTTGGGAACACTCTGCTCAGCTCAGCTAAGTGCAAAGAGTCCATTAAACTCACAGGGACAAAGCAAAGCACACTGGTGCAAAAAAAAACCAGGCTGCCTTTACCCTCCCCAGGAAGGACTTTTCCTGTAAATGGGGGTGTGCTTGACTAACCACTGGCACGTGAGCTGGAAATCAGTGACTACTACTGCCCTGAGAGCAGGGCAGAAGTGTCATCGCAGGGTCATGCTCACACACTTTGCCACCTCCTGGGTGAGTAAGGGCTCATTTAAGTACCACCCGTTGCAGGGGCGGTGCAGCTCTGTCTCTTCCAAAAGGCGAGACGTTTCCTCCTGCCAGGGCTAAGAACAAGTGACCAGTGCTCGATAGGAGCAAACTCCCTTTGGTTTGAGGCCCTGAGGGGCCTAATTCAGCCAGAATCTACGCAATACATTGCAGGCAGGTAGGAGCTTGCTCTGTCCCACCAGGGAGCCCACCCGGTATCAGCTGGGTGCGGGTAGCGGCTGTGCCACTTTAGACAGCACCGTACTGCCAGCTGGGGGGACCAGCTTGGGATCAGGCTGCTGGTAAAGCCTGAGTGCAGCTTGGCTTTTCTAGCATCTGCCTCCGCAGAAATCCTCCGCGCCCCAGAGGTGGCCAGCGTGAGAACAGCTCCCAGCCTCAGCGACACTACCTGCCCGCCTACCTCCCCTGCCCGCAGCCCAGGAGCTGGAAAAGATGGCAAAAGTAAGCTAGAAACACAGCCACAGCACTTCTGCGTCCTCCTGACAGCCAGCCACAGCCAGCTCCCTCAGCTTGCCGGCGTGTCTCGGTGTGTTCGCCTTCGCCGGGCTCGCTCCCGCAGGGCTGCTGTTACGAACAGGGCAGCGGGTGGAGTGGTGAAATACCTTCCCAGCCCCAAATTCTCTCACTCGGGACTAAAGCGGCAGCCGCACTTGCACTGTCGCTCATTGCTTACCAGGGAGCACCATTTCCTAACGCATTCTTCATCTCCAGCAACTTTGATGTGATCTATTTTTAAAAATTGTTTATTTTATTAAAAAAAAAAAAATCGCAATATTTAAATAGGCTGACCAAGAGGCTTTGTGCTCGTTAATTGTTCTCAGGCATGTAAGATCAACCGGATTCTCAGTGACAATTACAGAAAGAGCCGAGGTGCACACAAGATATGCAGGCCCAACTATGCCTGTGAAAGAAAGATGTGGCATCTCTCCCCAAGCAAGGAAGGGCGAGTGTGAGAATGGGAAGGTGACAATACTTCCCAGAGAGCCCTAACAGGAGAGCAACTTCTCTGTTTCTCATTACTGAACTATTTGGTGGGACTCCATACCTCGCTCAGCAAGACATATTACACCAGTGACATCTGCGGGGAGAGCCTGACGCCGGTCGCTTCCCTCACCATGACACAAAATGTCAGAACCCAGACCGGAGCAGGCGCACCAAGCACTGTGCCAAAGCACAAGCAGCATGCAGGAAGGGGAATCAAGCAGAGGAGAAGGCACCTCAGGCCAGAGGAGGAGCTGGAAACAGGGCTCTGATGGCTCACGCAGTCGTGCACCCCCCAGCAGGCACACGAGCCACCTCCCCGTGCCCAGCAGGCGAGGGGAGCCACTCTTGCCGGGCAGCGCGTTCCCAGGAAGGGGACGTAGCAAGAGGCCCAGCCACAGACTGGGTCCCCCAACCTTGCCACCTCTGTACGGGTACCAGGGCAGGGTGGCACAAGGCAGGCAAGGGACGAGACAGGGCATTGCCTACGTGGTGCCAGCAAAACCCCATGTGAGGGCCACGGGGCAGCAAGGGAACCGGGAACCTCCTAAGAATTACAGCAGTTGTGACTAATTCATGCATGGATTTCCTCTGTGCTATCTGGGTAATGCTGTTGGGCTTTCCAGCAAGCAGAAAAAAAATGCAGATAGGGTGAATAAAACCTCTTGCTTTTTGATTTATTCAACCCATTTTCAGTGCATTCCTAAATGTACCTATTGCTTATTAACAGGAAACAAAAATGCAGCAGCAGCTTTTCCGTGCTGATACCTGACACGTCCAAGTGGAGCTGCTGTACCCAACTATTGCCCAAGCTGCTGCATCTGACCAAGTACTTTGAGTTTTAAGCCGTTAACCTTTTGTGCAGAGTAGCTGCAAAGGTGAAACAGTCAAGAGGACTTTTCTCTTTTTATTCCTTTTTTACCCTACATAGTACCTGTGCTGGGTTAAAAAACAAAAACAAAACAAAGAGCGACTGAAACTTCCTCCTGGCTGTATCTTGAAGAGCAAAGAAGGAACAGAGCCAGAATTGATATGGCCGTTTTTGACAAGAAATTTGAAATCCTATATAGCCAGCTTTACACTGAGCAGAGGGACCACTGTGGTCTTTTGTCCTAATTTGGCTGTGGGGTTTTTGTTTGGTCGGTTTTAGTTTTTGGAGAGCTTTTTTGATTTTTAATGATGGCAGTGGCAAGAGTGGGAAAAGGCTGAAAACTCAGTCTTACGACATAATGACAAAAGTTCCTATGCCTTTGTATTAAAACAAGCAGGTAGAAACTACTCTTCTTTCTAAAGAAACTCTCTTAAGAAATTTCAGGAAAACTAAGAAGTACTGGTTGGTTTTTATTGTTTTTACTAGAAGTTGCCTGACATAAAACAGTTCTGCCTTGTTTGCAAAACAGAATTTCTTGGTAAAGTATTCCGGAAATGCAGTACCTGCAAATCTTAAGTCAGTGACTAATTATTACCATTATTATTTCCTTAAAGATAAGAAGCCTTCACTTTCTAATGACTGGTTTATTTTCTGAATACTGTTGGCCTTAGATAAAATGACGAATTATTATTTCAGGTAAATCTAAATGGTACATAGATAATATTATTAGTTCTTCCACAGACCAGGAAATAGGAAAAAAATCAGATCAATATTGCTTTTAATTTAAAATAGTTGGTGTGTCTCATCCTACTCTTCTTGAGCTTTGGAACATTAGAAAGCAAAGGAAGCACTGCAATGTGAAATACTGCAATTATAAAGGAGAAAAGTCAACAGAGAAGTCCAAGGCACCCAGCACTGCAGAAAACTAACTAGAATTTATACTGGATGCTGCCATCTTGACAACATGCTGATGAGAAAATATAGTAACACAGTTCTTATTTAAAAGCACAAAACCCTGGTGGGTTGCAACACAGCTGTAAAGGCAGTTAAATCAAGCTACACGCCTTAAAACCTGCACAGATGGAATGCTGAAATGGATGTTTTAATTGCTGTTTTTCACATTGAATACTGCATTTCATAACTGCCTTCCCCTGGTAGTCACTTCAGAAAGGATTAACAGCAGCAGCTACTTGCTTACACTGTACTCTCTTTTCTGTAACACAAGGCATAGAAAACTCAAGTGCCAGCATGTACTGACCCCTGGCCATTGTGCAGGATTTAAGTTGTCCCCTTCTCCTCCCACAGTGGTCAAGAGAGGTGAGGGCCACAAGCAGTATCATTCTC